CTGCAAACGGCCACAGAAAGTGGGGGGCAGCCGCATGAACCAAGGAGGTACGAGCGACCTCCATGACCAAGCCAATGCGGCGCTCAGCAACCCCATTCTGCTGTGGAGAGGCCGGAAGCGTGAACGACTGCTCAATGCCCTCCTGCTGACAGAAGGCCTCCAAGAGGCCAGAGGAAAACTCCCCACCTCTGTCAGAGTGCAGACGCAGGACAGGGAAGTCGGAGCGGAAACGCTCACTAAGCTGGAGACGAGATCTGCGGATCCAAGGGATCAAGACATCAGGGACGTCACCCTTGGTGCGCAAGGGGAAGACCGTGGTGTAGCGCGAGAAGTCGTCAACAACAATCAGGAAGTACCTCTCCTGACCCTGACCACGGACGCGGGCTGGGCCCCACACGTCCATGTGGAGCGTCTGCAAAGGAGCAGTCGTCGGGGGGAAGGAGGAGGAGTGAGGAGCAGCGCGCTGCCGCCCCTCGACACAGGGAAGACAGGGAGGAGCAGGCGAGGGTGGGAGGGGAGGGAGAACCCTGGGAAGACCAGCAACAAGGTCCCGTTTGTGCATGGCCCGAAGGCGCTGCACAGACGGGTGACCAAGGCGGTGGTGCCAGAGGACAGTCTCATGCGCCAGAGAGCGACACGAGCAGGGGGCGGACAGCTGACCTGACGCAGACGCAGACGCGGACGCAGCTACCTGAGGGGACGCAGTGGTCAGTGTGTACAAGTCCGACCCCGGCTGCCGAGTGAAGGTAGCCAGGTGACGGCCCGTCCGAGCACACGTGCAGTGTGTCACGCGCTCGTAAGCAGGGGTGAACTGGTGAACACCCCCGTCCTGGAGCGCGCTACCTGCGACCAAGTTCGTAGAGAACGAGGGGAGGTAGAGACCTGACAGTGTGCCTGACGGGACCGCAGGACAAGGAAGGACAGTGGAGGAGGTCGCAACGACCGGACCCCTAGAGGGGTCAGCGAGGGAGACAGCAACTGGCCGAGCGAGTGGCTCAAGGACAGTGCGGTCACGAAAGAAACAGCAAGAAGCACCTGAGTCCAGTGTGAAGGTGTGCAGTGCTGCAGTCGACTCAGTACCAGCGGGCACGGACTCACTAGCACCTAGAGCAGCAGCCTCACCAGGACCTGGGGCAGCAGACTCACTAGCACCTAGAGCGGCAGCCGGACTGGTCTAAATGCCCGGGTCGGGCGGAACACGCAAGTACTGAGCACCCTCTCCACTAGTAAACATCGCATACATGGCAGTGAGAATAGCATCAAAGTCTAAAGCCCAGATATCAACTCCCTTCTTCTCCAGATCAGCCCAGCGGGGCAGCTCAGTGGCATCAGGAAACTGGGCACGCCACGCGTCGGTAAGGCGCGCGAAACAGCGCTGCGTGGGGTGCTGCCTCCCACACTGCTGGCCAGTGCGGTCACCAGTGCGAATGACGTACGTGCAGGTAAAGCCACGCTGCGCATACCACTCACGGGCGGCCTGAAGCGACGGGGCGGGCTGCTGACTCGATCGGTAGGGAGTTACGAATAGCGAAGCGAGCGTGGGCGTCACGAGTCTGCCACTGTGAGCGCTGAGTGCTGTCAGCAGTGGTAGGAGGGGCAGTAGCGTTGCCTAGGGCGTGATCGTACAGTGAAATGTCCTCCTTAGCAGTGAGCTGTAGGAAGAGGTGGAGGTCATCGAGCCAGGTTTCGAACTTCACTGGACGGCCCTCAGCATCGAAAGTAAGTACAGTAGGAGTAGCCATAGCGGCAGTAGCAGTAGCGGTAGAAACAGTAGGAATGAGGCCGCAGGGAAGCTGTGGGCGGTGTCAACGGGGCCGGCGGGGCCACTAAAAAAAAAAAAAAAAAAATGCACGGGCGGTAGCGGCAGGGTCGACAGGCCGGCAGCAGCGGCGAAGGAGGGGTAGTGCACGGGCGGCAGCAGCAGCGGCGCACGAGCGGCAGCAGCTTAGGCGCACGAGCGGCAGCGGCAGTGGCAGCACACGGGCGGCAGCAGCTGAGGCGCACGGGCGGCAGCGGCAGCGGGCGCAGTAGCGGCGGCTACAGCGGGAGCGAGTACAGCAGCAGCAGCGGTAGCAGGCGCAGCAGAGGCGCACGGGCAGCAGTGGCAGCAGGCGCGACAGCAGCGCACGGGCGGCAGCGGCAGCGGCGCACGAGCGGGAGCGGCTGCGGGCGACGCGCAGGCTGTAACTGTAGCGGCGGGACCGTGGTAGCGGCAGCAGCAGCGGGCGACGAGCGGGCGGCAGCTGCAGCGGCGCACAGGCGGTTACGCGCGGGCGGCAATGTGCGGGCCGGCGGGGCCGCGGCGGGCTGCGCTTTAGCGGTGCGAGCGGCGCGCGGGCGGCTAGCTGGTCGCGCGCTCAAGAAATCGGCCGCGCGCGGGCGGCTAGCGGGTCGCGCGCGGTAAAAAAAAAAAAGCGAGCCGCGCGCGAGTGGCTGGCGGGCTGCGCGCGCGCGGTAGGTAGGAGGCGCACTAGGGCGCGTAGGCGCACGAGGGCGCACGGTAGGTAGGTAGGTAGGTAGGTAGGTAGCGGTGGGCCCTAAGAACGGTCCTAGCGAAGGACCTGCTCTGAAACCATGTCAAAATCCACAGACTGGAATGACTGTACTAGCACAAAGTTGGATACAAGTAGGAAACCCTAATCTAGTGTACCCCCTAAGGTGTAACCCACTACAGCCTACAATCATATAAACATATAATGTTTGACAGGAACTGTTGACCGACGTGCAGCAGCACGTGGGCTCGTGTCCCACGTGTCAGGTGATGAAAAGCTCGAGGAAGCGGAAGGCGGGTCAGTTGCAGCCGATACCACCGCCCGAGCGCGCCTGGCAGCAGGTTACCATGGACTTCGTCACAGGGTTACCTTCGAACCCTGGGGGTAACGACGCGGTAATGGTCGTCGTTGACAGGTTGACGAAGATGGCACACTTCGCTGCGTGCAAAAAGTCGATCTCAGCCGAGGAAACCGCTCGCCTGTTCATCGCAGCCGTTTTTCGCATGCACGGGATACCAGCAGCAATCATCAGCGACAGAGACACGAAATTCACCAGCAACTTCTGGAGGAACTTGTGGGAGCAGTTCGGGACCAGGCTACAGTTCAGCTCGATGTACCACCCCGAGACCGACGGTCAAACGGAGCGGACGAATCAGACGATGGAGCAGTTGATTTGTGCCACGTGCGACGACCCCACGACCTGGGAGCAGCAGCTGCCGCTGATCGAGTTCGCGTACAACAACGCCACGTCAGCGACGACGCAGCAGTCCCCGTTCTACCTGAACTACGGGCAAAATCCAACAGTGCCCATGACGCCGAGTCCGGACAACCCCACGCCACGTGCACAGCAATTCGCCGAAATACTACAAGCTGCCAGCACCAGAGCCGCAGAAGCAATTTAAAAAACAAATGTCATCGCTAAGCGCAACGCTGACCGCCACCGCCGCCCCGTCACGTTCTAGTTCGGAGACTACGTACTGCTCGACACGCAAAATCTGCGACTGCCCGACGTACCGAAATTGCGACCCCGCTACTGTGGCCCATTCCAAATCAGCCACATGATCACGCCAGTAACCGCGCATCTACTGTTACCGACCGACTGGTACATCAGCCCATCATTCCACGTCAGCCTGCTTCGCCCATACATACCGACCACCAGCCAACTGCCGCGTCATCGCCCGCATTCAATGACTCGCTCTGCATCGGAGCCAATCATCAAGCCCGAAAAAATCCTGAGCCATCGGATTCGTCACCCCACTGGCGTCAAGTGGATTGAATTCCTCGTTCGTTGGAAAGACCGCACTCCAACCGAAGATAGCTGGGTGCCCCTGGCCAACATTGAAAACCACCCTGCCCTGCAAGTGTACCTGAGGAGCCGGGGATTCCGCGATATACTCGCACTCGCGTAGCGGGGGGGGCTTCTTGAGGGGGGGGGGAGTGTAAGGAATTTTCTCGGCATTCCTTACGGAGTCCGGCTACATCGCGTACAGCAACAGCCGTTGTTCGCCCGTTACTGCTAACGGGACTTCGCCAACCTCGCGCGCACTGTTTTGCCAAACCTCGCACTACTGGCCCGGCCATATCGGCCTACGCTTCGGGACTAGCCCGAACCTCGCTGCCAGCGTAGCACTAGCTAGCTCGCACGCACCGCGTTACCGTTTGCATGTTTCGCGTATAAATGTTCGCTCATGCCTTCGCTCACATTTTGTACTCGTTTGACACTCTAGTGCAATCCTCCCTACGTCAATCCATTGCATCCGTAACAGTCATTCTGTAATTCTCATTCTCGTTATTCGATATCTGCGCACTCTGAAAAGTTAATTCATAACAAAAACCCTATCATTGCATCCTTTGTGAGGCTGTTCGTGTTGGCGAGGGAGTCCGATGGTAACGAGAAACGCGTCACAGAAGACCAGGGGCCGCCGTGAAACCCGCATCTGCTCACCCATTGGACAATTCGAATCCAATAAAGCAGAACAAATAAGTCATCCACAGCGCACAATCCGCGATCAAGGCATTTCGGCATGTGGTAACAGGAAAGCTGTGCCGCTCGCAAGGAGCGGGGCCATCGAATCAGAAGCGTCGAGTCATCCAGTGTAGGGTGACATCTGCGATTGCGAATGCACGACAGTCCCAGCCGATGCCCTCCATTCGCGTTCCTCCATTCAACCTTCGCAGCGCTCCCTACAATAAGTTTCCCCACTTCCTTGAGCAGATAGCTTTCTTGCTTCGCCACCCTTGAGCAGATTGCTTTCTTGCTTTTACCATCAACCTGCTGCTCCGTGCTTGCTGGCTTTGCCCTCACCTGCTACTTGTCTCACCAATATCGGCTCCGCCGCCTTTCCATTCACCGTTAGCACCACCAACATATTGCGGCGACGCTCGTCACATCGCACCCGTCGCCGCTTCACCATCACCTGGGACACACAAAGTCATATCGCCATCGTCATCGTCATCGCCATCGCCATCGCCTGCTCATCTCCGTCACCGATATCCGATATCGTCACCATGGAGCATCGTCGCCGCGATCTTCGCAAAATTTCGTCCGCCATTCGCCTGGCCGCGAGCCTCGCGAGCCTCGCGCTCGTCGCAGTCATCCTATTGACCGCCACAACCAGCGGCGCAGCCAGCGACTCAACCAGCGACGAATCCTGCGAACCTGGACCGCCCACGTCGAGCATTTCCGTCGTGTCTTTTGCCGGGCAGGCGACAGGAGATTCCCAGGAACTGTTCTTCGAGGGGTCCATGTGCGTCAACCCGCACAAGTTCCGCGAGGATATGATCCTGCAAGTAGACTGGAACGGTGGGGACCCGACCGCGTGTCGCAGCGTCGCCCTTTACCCCAAGAAGAACTGCGCTGGCCGCCCCTATCGCTCGCTCATCCGCCCCCTCACGGCCGACCCCATCGTCAATTGGTGAGGCCTGTTGCTTCGAACCCGTCGAACTCCCAGCAGGCGCTAATTCGTTCGTGCTTTCCACTCCCATATCTCACCTCTCGCTCTGCCTTTTGTATCGCTCTGCCGCAGGAATTTCCGTGTCGATGAGCTGCCTGCCTCAGTCAAATGCGAACTCGGTGAGTGGAGGTCGTTTGCATGCCATCATGATGCCATGCGCGCATTGCCATACACACCATACGCACCTTTGGCCTGTCAAGTCAGGCGTGCTGTGGATGCCTGTCGCGGGCCCGGCCCATTGTCGTTGTTCCCATCGTCTCCTCGTCACTGGCATTGTGTGTGACCGCCACCACCTCTACTTTCATCTTTACCCGACATCATATAGCCATGTCTGACGCACGTGCCACGCTCCCCTCCCTCGTCCAATGCGGACCTCCTCTCTCCTCCCTGCCTCCCAAACGACCTGCTCCTGGTGCCCCGAAGGCTGCCCTAATGACTGCGGGTCGACGGCAGTGTGCGTGGTGAGGGAAGGCGCCTCTCAGTGCGTGTGCCCCGACTCTCAGATCTACAGCGCCGCCGACAAGCAGTGCTACGGTGAGTGCTGCATGTCAAGCAGCTAGACGCGGATGCCTGATAGCATGGAATACAGAGGTAAGTGCCTGATGGCGTGGATTAGGAGTTTGTGCATAATCCACTCTTGCATCCCAGCAATGTAGTTCACGTGTAAGACCAGATACCACTGCCCTTTCTCCTCCTCTTCCCCTTTTCCATCTAATCCGATCTCTCCTCGCCGTGGGATTAGCCTGCAAGCACGACTGTGGGATGGTTGCTCGTTGCGTTTTCAATGGCAGCGCAGCGCATGGAATGTGCCCCGGGGATCCCATAATCTTTCATCGCCTTTTCTTCTTCTGGTCCAGCTAACTATCACCTTCTCTCCTTCCCTTCCCCTGCCATTCTGCTTGCCTCCTCCATGCCTCTCTCGCCCCCATGCTCACGTCCTAACAGCCGCATGCAGCCCGCCATGCCGTGAGGCGGCCACCTGCCAGGTGGACAATGGGGTTGCCATGTGCAAGTGTGGCGCCGGGTACACCATGATGGCCAATGGCCACTGCAAGGGTGAGTGCCTGGGGACATGTAGAGGACAAGCCGTTGAGTTGCCTTACTCTCGGCCTTACATTGGCAACCCATGAAAAAGCTACGATTTGTGCAGAAATGAATTGCAACGTATGAGAACACCCGATTTTAGGCTGTGTGCCTCTGCTTCACATCTCACTGCCCATGCTGTTTCATTCTGACGACTGCATGTCGTCCTTCCCTGTGTGAAGCCGTTGTGCTCGTCATGTGAGGCAGAAGAGATGGCTCTGCACTGGTGAGGGAGTAGCGTCTGCCTAAATAGGCTCTAAGTTTACTCAAATCGTCAAAAGACACTGAGAGCTACAGTGGCATTCACGCACATCTCACTTTCATCTCACATCCCTTGCACCTGCAATCCAATCATACACCATCCACTGCTTCCTCCACGCTTACACGGGCCCAGCTCGGCCATTTCATGCGCAGCCATCCTGTCGCATGTGCATTTCCTGTTCTGACGCGTTTCTCCACTCCCTCATGGGATGTCTCTCTCTGCATTTACTGAGGGCACACAAGCACCATCTCCCTCTCCCTCATATTCTTTGCTCGTCCCTCTGATATTATTTTCCCCCCTTTTGCAGCCGTTTGCAAGCCTGCATGCGCCACCAACGCTGAGTGTGTGGTGGTGGGAGGCAATTCTGTGTGCCAGTGCAAGCAGGGATACGCGTTGAAGGGGAAGAGGTGCATGCCCCAAGCAGGGGTTGGCCAGGCGAGGGAGTGGCTGAATCACCAAATTCGGTAAGCTAGTGGCCATTGTCTTGCTTTCTCCCCAACCCCCTGCGAAAAACTTTGGCCCACCAAGAGTCACATTTCTTGCCATCCCTGATCATGCATGGCCTTCCAAATGCATGGACTTTCTCTTCATCCATCATCATTTTCTATCTTCGGCGAACATCACCGCAGCCTGTATGTTCCCCGCTTGTGTTGTCATCTGGTTCCTCCGCCCTTTTCGTGGGGAGCAGAGGTGCGAGGAAGACCAGCGAAGGGTTCACGGGTTAAGGCAGCATTTTTGAAGAAAGCACTCAATGTTTTGGGGCGAAGCATTACTAAATGCCGACAAAGAGCAACAGTGAAGGGATTTGTGAATCGTCGAAGTCGAAGGGCACTCGGTAGGAACAAAATGGTAACCGTCCTATGGTAACTGGATCTCGCACTGTGCTTGAATTATTCATTGGTCTAAAAAGAATGCACCCCTTCAAAGTATATGGCTAGTTGGATCATTTTGTATTTTGCTGTATTGATACCGTCATCGCCCTGTTACGGGGTAGTTCACTGTTCAAGGGTGGTTTACCCTAAATAGTGCCCCAACCTAATCCCTTTGGGATTTCCTAGATCTCAGAACCGGAAAAATCTCGCGTGCGCGAAACTCGCTCGTGCGGCGCGTCAGAAGCGTTAGATTTCGTATCTGACATGATTGGTGTGTCAGAACCTGAATCTACCACAAATGACGCGTCAAATTTCAGATTTTGTGCCTCTAAAAGCTGACGCGCATATTCCATTTTTTACAACTGTATACAGGTAAGGGGGGCAATAAAATGTTTTATAGCAAAAGGGGGGTCTTAAAATGTTTTAGGGTACATTCCGCTGTGGACTGTTAAGATAATAGGCATAGCTAGGACTATGAGCTAGGGTTTAACATAGGCACAAGAGAGATGTCCAAGCAAGAAGAGGTTTGAACTATAGAATGACAAGTACAAATAGAGGAGAAGCATGCAAGGAGTGGTGCACCACCACAGAGAACACCTATGTGACTACACTACAGCTAGAACTACATGCACTTATACAAAATATATATACTATATATTCTGACACACCCCCTAAGTGCATGCAGGAATAGCCTTGTGCAGAACACCCCCTGAAGTGGTACATCATGCAGGGCGCAGCAGAAGAAGAGGCGAAGTGAGGAGGAGGAGGAGGAGGAACTGTGATAGGAGAGGAGATGGGAAGCGACGGCTGAAACTGCAGACACACGGGCAACAGGAGCGGCTGGCACAGTGGCTACCGGGACAGCGCCCCGGACTACTGGAGTAACAGGCTCCGCGGCTAAGACGAGCGGCAGGAGCAACGGACCCACGGGCGACAGGCGCAGCAGGCTCTCTGGGCTACCAGGACAGCGCCCCGGACTACAGGTGCTGCGGACGACAAGACGGCAGCCTCCGCTCAACCTCTCCACAATGTCCCACCCCCCTGTCACACATCCCTTGCTATACCCCGAGCTCCACTCCCACGGCACCCCCCTTAAACCCTAAACCCTCGGCTCCCACACATCCACCCCCCTCAGCGGCAGCTGCAGCAGTGGGAGACGGAGGAGGAGGAGGAGCAGGGGACGGCTCACACACACGGCACCCCCATACCCTCCACCCCCAAACCCTAACACAGGAACGCGGGCAGTAGCGGGGGTGGGGCACCAGCAGAAGCTCGGGGGACGGACGAGGCGCGCGCACGGGCCTGCCGCAGGCCGGACGAGGCGCGCGCGGGCTGCCCGGGCCGCGCGCGGGCCTGGCGCAGCCCGTACGGGCCGCGCGCGGGCCTGGCGCAGGTCGCGCGGGCCGCGTCGGGCGATGGGGGGCGACGCGCGGGTCCCTGGGGGCTTCGCGACGGGCGACGGGGGGCGACACGCGGTTCGACGGGGCAGAAAACCGCCGCGCGCTCGGGGCGCGCGGCGGGAAGAAAAAATCGCTGCGCGCCCGGAGCGCGCGGCAGGCATGAAACAGCAGGAAACAGCAGCGGAAGCATCGTGGGGCCCACAGGCCAAGGGCGTAACCACTCTGTTACCATGTTAAGATAATAGGCATAGCTAGGACTATGAGCTAGGGTTTAACCTAGGCACAAGAGAGATGTCCAAGCAAGAAGAGGTTTGAACTATAGAATGACAAGTACAAATAGAGGAGAAGCATGCAAGGAGTGGTGCACCACCACAGAGAACACCTATGTGACTACACTACAGCTAGAACTACATGCACTTATACAAAATATATATACTATATATTCTGACATGGACAGCGTCCCAATCGATGTGTCCCAATCGATTCTACCGCACTGCATCTTATTACACCGAATTACACCCTAGTTTCAAAATTTTCGCTTCTCTGGTTTAGTTCGGTTCGGAGCGGTACACCCGATTGGGACATGTACGATTGGGACATGTCCAGGGCGGAATGTACCCTTATAGCGAAAGGGGGAGTCCCAGACCCGAATTTAAATCCCGGGGGTCCTTTTTTCGGGATGGTCATATATCCGGGAGAATAGGTCCTTGCCAATATCAATCCATTCTCAACCATTTTTCATTCAACTCTTCAATTACTCAGTTACTTTTTCGCCTATTTTGCAAATTGTTTCGCCAAAGTCTTCCGCCGCGTTTTCATCCTCGACTTAGTCGACCCCGCTATACTTTTCCAGACTTAGGCCAGCGGGCCTAACACTTGGTATCAAGAGCCTTCGCGGGGAGCGACTTCCAACGAGCGACCGTCGACGACGAGACTACGACGTCATCGTCCTGCGGTGCCGACTTGCAGATTTGGAGTTGTGCTCGACCAGAAGCACCTGGTGGTCGACCGAAGGGACGAGGCACCTGGTGGTCGACCAGAGGCACCTGGTGGTCGACCGGGAGCATCTGGTGGTGTCCAGGTCGACCAGGTAACCTGCTCGATGAGTTCTGCGGAGGCACGCGAACGTCGTCGAGGTTGCGATGGCGAAGGCGACTTTGGGCTGGTATCCCGAAGTCGATGTGGCTCGTCAGGCACAGACAACAGCCGACGGATGCACAGCAATGCAAGTCGGGCCAATCGTCTGCGCGCACCTGTGAACGCACGCACTGCTGTCTTCTACGGGGCAACGCTGGACAGCCGCATTGCTGCAGCGTTGGCACGCCGTCGACCTGCAGTGTTGGCAGGTCGCTCTTCTGCAGTGCTGGCGCGGCTCCTCTACGCAACGCTGGCAGGCGGTCGACCGAGCTGTGCTGGCGGTCGACCAGGCTAGCTGCAGAGTTGCTAGGTGCCTGATGTAGTCATTCTTGTCATTGCTTTTTTGAATCATTATGTAATTCCAACTTTGCTAGTGGAAACTCTTGCCAATCTCTCCCGTGAATGCGCAAGTGCTAAGGAACCAAGCACGATCACTCCTAGTAGTTCGTGCCAACCCCCGTAGTCTAGCTCACTACCGTTGTAGAGTGAATCTCTTTAAAATCGAGCTTCTCCGCCATAGCGAGAATCTCCTGAAAGTCGGTGACGCCGCGGAGCTGAATTTCCTAAGCGATCTCGTGCTTCAGGCTGCCGATATAGTGGTTGATGTGCTCGCCTTCGTGCATATAGCCCACTTGCTCACATAGCGCCAGAAACCCGCTAATGTAGTCTTGGTCGGAACTGAGCTGGCGCCAAGTGCGGAGCTTCTGACGCGCCGCGATCGAAGCCGCAATTGGCTTAAATCGGGCACGCAGACCTGCGTATTACGCATCCCACGTGCGATATTGGGGCACCTCCACGAAATACGACGGCGCCCAGGTACCTGTTTGTCTTTCCCTTGTCAATAGAGTCGCGTAGTCCGTCGGCTTCGTGGCGATGACGCACCTCTAATCCATGGCGGGTCCTCGCAGCAGCGACACAGCGTAACGAATCTTCGCCGTATTCTCCGAGACGTAGTTTGCGTCGAAGAAACGTTCATAGTGAATGTTCATGCCTGAACGGTAGGACCACCTCGTTGACTCGGGTCAAAGCAAAGCGGACGCTGCGGCTTCAGCCGCATCTGTGACGTCAATGCTGACTCGCCGATCGGCACCGAAATCGTGACCCGAGGTTGGCTTCTGGGGGCATTCGTCACTTCGGTGTGTGTCGTGCCATGATCGTCGTCTCCGTCGTTGCGGGCGACGCCATCACTAGCCGCGCTCGAGGGTTGCCCCACACTTCCGTGCTGGGATGTCTGACGTGCAGGTTGTCCCGGTGTGCCTAGTGCTTGCGATTGTGCTTGCTGTGAGGATCTAGGATCGAGCTCAGAAAAGAGAGTTTGAATTGAATGATCACCTGGGTACAACACGAGGCTATATATAGGCTCGACACAAGGCAGGTAACCCAGGTGTTACGCGAATGTTCCGAGGGTCGCGAAGCGTCCCGAACAGAACCTTCCCGAACTCGGTAGAAAGCAATTCGGTGGCAACCGAATAGCTTGAGTTCGGTACACGTAACCTGGTTCGGTGCCTATAACTATAATAACTATAGTAAAGCAACGAACCTAAGGAATCAAGCAATTCATGCATGCAGAAAATAAACCTAAGCTAGGAATAGCGTAAGGAAATAATAGCAAGCATGAATAACAAGCATAAGCCGTCGTACTCTCACACTTGCTATGTTCGTGCGACGTCGTTTTGCAGGGAAGCACGTTCTGCCGTCAGCGTCGTTCAAGTGCTCCTGTGTGAGGCTCGTGGCGTTGATATGCTCGGCCATTCCGAAGGGCGTCGGCTCGGCTTTGCTTTAGGCGCAGTCGTGGCTGCATGCGTTAACGAGAGAACGCGAGGACAGCGACTCCTAGGGGCTAAGGGGCGTGAATTCCTTCTAGCAAAATCAAAAGTTGTTTTCCTGGGGTGCAGAGATGCGTGGTCCGAATACATGTGGCTCTGATACCAAGTGTTACGGGTGCAATGGAACGAGATAGCGAGGATTGCACTAGGTGTTAAACGAGTTCGAAGTATGAGCGAAGGCATGAGCGAATACTTACGTGCGAAAGCATGCAACGGTTACGCGGTGCGTGCGAGCTAGCTAGTGCTATGCTGGCATCGAGGTTCGGGCTAGCCCCGAAGCGTAGGCCGACTCGGCTGGGCCAGCGATGCATGGTTTGGTGAAATAGTGCGCGAAGTCCCGTTAGATTAGGGCTGCTGTACGCGATGTTGACGGTCGCGTTAAGGAATGTAGAGAAAATCCTTACACCTAATTGTGAAATAGTATAAGGAGGCTCAATCTGGTTGATGTATGGTGGAGAAGGTTGACATTTGATTAGGCTGGGCGGAGAGAGGGATGTGGGGAGGGGGGGTTTGGTGATCGAAGCGTGCTCTTCGAGAATCACATGATACTGACATATACTGACAAGAACGGTCGTAACCGTGCGTGAGGAACTAGAGGGAACCTCTTGCTCCAGATAGGATTCTAGGGCCTGCTGTTCCTGGCCCTCCTCGCCGACCAGATTGCTGCAAAGTTGTTTGTCCATTTCAGGCTTCTGCCATCCATTCTGATCCTCTCTAACATGTTCCACTCCTCCGATGAGCCACGCTGTCTCTGCTTCCGCCACGTCGGCCCAAACTTATGGATGTACAGTTTCACATGCTGCTAAAAAGCTACCTCAATCCACCGCAAGACTCGTTGAGTCCGGAATTTCCGCCCTCTGAAAGCAGCTTCGCACCGCTCGAGCCGCAGCTGGTGAAATGCAATTGATGTCAACGTCAGCTCCGGAAATGCTGAGCTGGTACCGGTGTCTCGAAACAGAAGATCACCCAGCGAGTCCGTCGTGCGGCTGGGATTCATCATGCCCAAAGCGCGCCGAAGAGCTGTGGAGACCACTTGAACTCTGGGGCAGAGAACCAAACAGTGCTCCAGTGTCTCCGGCTCTCCGCAGTATGGGCAAACTGGCTTGCTACTGAGAAAAGCCAGGCGCTCTCCCACCTGCAGATATAGACCGTGGATGCAGGTGAGCACGTCATGTGGACGGCTGGAACAGCCAAAGAGTCCCGCGTGCTCACGGATCTCTTCCAATTGATGTTCCCCCCCCATCTTGCCGACCACTTTGCGCACTTGTACGACTCCTTCTGGGCCTCCTTCCACCCTTCTCTCATCTGCTTCATGGGGATGATGCGCCCATCCTCCAGGACGTTCAGCAGCTGAGGGGAGTCAGCCGAGCGTGGGAGTACGGTCGGAAACCCCAGCTCTCTGTACCAACTGGCAGGGAGAGCACCTACAGCCTTCAGCGCCAGCTTCGCCGGGCCGTTGCTGCCCAGGAGCCTCGCTAGTTCCGCCATGGATTTCTGCTCACGCTCGCCTGCTACGCTACTCATGAACAAATCCTCCAGACGCAAGTCCCACAGCTTCCTGGCGTCCTTTTGCCCACCGATCGGCGTGGTGCCCCGTAACAGTATATTCTTATTAAAAACCACCCGTTCCTTCAGAATTTCTTCCCTTGTTGAGGCTGGGGCACACAAACACAGCGGCGAACCGGAGATACTCTCGCATGTCTGCTTCCACTGAATATTGCCGCCTTCCCAATACTTGAAAAGCTTCTCATGTGCTTCAAAGGATTCTGCTCCTAGGGGAAGCTTCGCCGCTCGCACCAACAGGTCCCTTTTGAGGCTGTTGCGTTCGGCAATGTATAATCCCGCCCTTCTCGCCGCCAAGCAGGTGAGAACAATCTCTGGGTCCCTCACTCCTAATCCGCCGGCTGCTCTCGTGGTGTACAGCAGCACCTTACTCCAGAGAAAGAATCCTTTCGCTGTCGACACTCTGTTTCCAGATGTAAACCCGTGTAACATCCGCACCAAATCCTCCCAGATGTCTGCAGGTGGCGGATAGACTTGGGCTTGGAAAGCAATCATCGGGGTGATGTAGAAATTTACCACTGACGCACGAGCCGCTGTCGTCAGGTACTTCTGCTTCCACTTCACCAGTTTCTCAGCAATGCGCTCCAGCGCCTTCTCCCAAGTTTCCCGTCCATTCCCAGAGGGGGTCACCCATACACCCAGCAGGCGCTCAGCATCGTCTGCACCCACCCATTTGAAGCTAGACGCGCCGTCCGCTGCTGCGACGATGTTCACACCCAGAGGTAGTATCACCGATTTCCCCTTATTTGTGGCTAATCCAGCTGCTTTTCAAAATTGTCCAGGATCTCTTCCGCTTTAACGATTTGCTCCTTCCCCTGCAGGATTAATGTTGTGTCATCAGCGTACCCAAGGTAGCTGAGCTGCTGCCCGTCCTTACTGAGCCCCGGCTTCTCCCTCTCTACCTCCTGAGCCAGGGGCTCCACCGCGCACAAGAACAGGTAAGGTGCGAGTGGACAGCCCTGCCGGACACCCGACACCACGTTCATTCCTTCTCCAAGCCAGCCGTTAACCAAGAGCTTCGTCGTGGTGTTTTCATGCAGGCCTTCGACCCGACCAACATACCGCGCCGGGAAACCCATTTTCCGAAGCACCTGGAAGAGGAAATCCCTCGACACCGAGTCGAAGGCTTTCTGGAAATCGACCAACAGCATATACCAGTCCGCCTTCTCATTCTTCGCCACGTCAATGATATCCGCAACCAGCGCCACCGCATCCGACAGGCGTCGTCCCGGGATGAACCCACACTGCTCCGGTAAGATGACCTGATGCAGAACCCGTTTCATCCGATCCGCCATGACTTTGGCAAGCACCTTGTATGTGAAATTGAGGAGAGTAATGGGCCGATAGTTGTTCAAATGATCCCGTTCCCCCTTCTTATGCAGTAGAATAGTGACTGCCTCCTTGAGCTCAGCCAAAAGAGAAGCTGATCTCTCGAAATCTTTAACCAGCACCATAAAACTCCCCCCCAGCAGGTCCCAATGACATCCGAATAGCTCCTTCGGGAGCCCGTCTCCACCGGGTGATTTGTTCCTTGCCATTGTCGTAAATGCCTACTTCACCTCCTGTTTTGTCCAGTTCGCCATTAACATCTCCTCTGCCTCCTTCCCCAGGCGCCTGCTCGGGTTGAAATTCCAGTTTGAGAAGTCTGTGCGACGATCCTTGCCGAAGATATTATTGAAGAAAGCCGACGCGGCATCCAGAATCTGCTTCACCCCAGTCACCGTATTATTCCCTTCCTTCAGCTCCTTACTTTGCGTGCGAGCTTTCCTTGTACGGACCTTCGCAGACAGATGCTTCGAGGCGATTTCGCCGGTCATCTCCTCCGACAACCCAGCCTACAGGTGCAGCCGTTCCCTCCGTGCTTCCTGATACGCTTTCAACTGTAGCTCCTTAGCTGCGAGCGCCTCTCGTGTGACATTGCATGTTGGGTTCCTCATCAGATCCTGTTTCAGCCGCGCGACTCTGCTCACCAAGTGAGCCAGCGTTTTCTTAACCCGCTTGCTTTCTTCCCGTGCGTACGTCCGTAGTCCTGCTCCCAGCCGAGCAAACAGGAGCTCAAAGCTGCTGCCGTCATTACAGGCGTTCTCCGTACCGTAGCATTAATAATCCTCCGCACCCCCGGCCTTCACACCATCGAGGCGTGCAACCTCCAAATGCCCGGTCCCATACATATTTTCTCGTCCAGGCGAAAGGCGACCTGAATCGCAAAGCCATGATCCGAGATTGGCTCCTCCGGCATATCATGTCTGGCGATGGAAAGGTGAGATAGCAGTGATTGCGAGACAAGCGCGTGGTCAATGCGAGTGCTGCAGCGATGCGAGTGTGCGTAGAAGGTGTATTCCCTGTCTCTCGGATGCAGGGTGCGAAAAGCGTCGGAGAGTTGGAAGCTGGTGCAGCGTAGTAAGAGCTTCTCATTTTCAGCCGATGAGCCTGAGCCTGAGGATCTGTCCAGCTTGGGGTCATCCGTCAGGTTCAGATCACCAATGATGAGAAGGTGGGACGAAGGTGAGACTGTGTCAATGACTGGTCCAAGAGTATCTCTAATGAAAGCAGTGCGAGGCGTAATGTGCGATGGGAGGTAGACAGCTACTAGAGTAAGATCCAGTCCGGCACCTTTAACTACTCTCTTGACTATTCTACCTGAGCCATGAAACTCCGTGTCATGGAAGGCGATGTTCTCATCACTACAGAGGACTGCTACACCACCAGCACTAGCTCGAGGAGGATTCGCTAAGACTATATATGAGGTAAGTCCGGACCAGAAAGAGTGGCTGTTGTCTATCCTAGTGTCTATCAGTACTGCAATGTCTGTTGACTTTTTCATCCAGTTAATAACCCGCTCCTGTTTGACTCTGTTTGTTCCTAAGCCGTTGACGTTCAGGCTCGCGATGGTGAGGTGGTTTTTATCAATCATTGATCCACTGCCTTGCAGCCCCTGATCATCCACGGGCTGAGAAATGAGACGGTACAGGCAACATTGACTCCTAGACACCAACATGCTGCTGCATCGAGATACCGGTCAAACTCTGTCACAGTCCGTACTCTGACCGGACAACAGCCAGGTTCAGCTTGTCGAGGGACTCCTTCGATGCTCAGCTGGCCTTCTCCAACTCCAGCAGGTGAGTAGCTGCTTTGATATGAGCCGCCGCTGCCATCAGACTCTTCCCTTTTGCTTTTCCACAGCCGGCCTGCGTGCAGATCCAATCCTCCCTGCTGCTGCCAGAGGAGACTAAAGCGATAGCTGGGTCCCGAAGAATGGGAAGGAAGAGAGGCGACGCTTTCAACGGCGCAGCTGCGGAGGTCAAGAGACAGGTCAGTAACAGTAAGAGAGAGGCAAAGCGGACTGCGTGAGAGAACCTGACTGCTTTTACCGTTAAGCCTGTGCACTCCGCCAAGTGTAAGATTCCATTTATTAACATTATTCTGACGCTCAGTGAGAAAAGCATCACGATGCTTATAATAGTGCTTGCCACCACAGAGCGTGCAGGTTAAAGCCGCGTAATGGATCAGGAGCTGCTTCGACCGATCAGCGGGATCAGCGATGGCATGAATCCAGCGGCGATTCTGATTCTCCGGGTGAGCATACACCAGCCCCTTCACAACATCCGTGTCAGCACCAGTAACCGGATGAAGCATACGGTGAAGGCAGACACAACGCTGGAAAGCCGACCGCTGAGTGCTCTTCAATAGGTAAGAAGCAAGTCGGTCGTGAATGAGGATGAGATCAACTGCAGCTGAAACTCCCTTGATCATGAATTTAATAGCGTGAGGATTCATCGCCTTCTCCCGAACGAAAGCAGGGTCGTTCGTATGCTGCCAATGAAGAGTGACCAGCTGAACCTTAAGAGTTTGATAAATGACTTCTTTCTAACGGGCCCATACTGCATCTGACTCCATTGCGAATGATACTTGCAGGCGACAGTATCGCGTCTTGGCAATGTAAGCTGTCTGAAGTTCCTGGAACTTGGTCGTCTTGACAACATCAGCCGACAACTCTGAAATCCACCCGTGCTTGATCAGAGCTTTGACAGCGTCAATCACACAAGAAATCTCTTTCACCAGCATAAACGGAATCAGCAAGACAGCAACCGCACGCAAACCCGATCCAGCCTCCTTGACCAGGTCGATCAGCATCTCGTCATCTGAATCATCGTCAATGAAGCCGTCATCAGCAGCAAGACCAATGGACGGTATCGTAACTTTGTCGCTCGCAGATAAGCCTGAACCACTGGCTGCCGAAGCTGATGCCTTGTCATTGTCATTGACTGCAGGCACCGTTGAATCCGTAGTTCCAGCAGCACTACCCGTGATGTGAAGAGCATCCATGTTAGCTGGTGGGTCGACAGCAGGCCGAGAACGCTGACCCTTCGGAAGAATAGGAACATCAGCCGGTTGCGCCATTGTGCGATGATGAATGTAAGCAGGCAGAGGGAGAGTGTGCCAAGCACACTTGATGACCAGACGAAATAATGCCTGAAGTCTGAGCACGAAGCCTAGAAATAGTTTCCTGACTTTGTCAGGGTCCAATGTTCCATAGAGCTGATAATCTCGAAGTCGCACATGCGGTAATCTCGAAGCTTCATCCTTGAAAGCTTCAGTCTTAATAAAAAACATTGTTGTAGTTGTATAATGTAAGCTTGTTGCATGACAATGGAAACTGACGCGACTTATGCGATCCCGTGACTGCCTCACAGAAACCGAAGCTCGATGCCTTATCACTGGAGATACCAAGGTCAGCAAATATGACCGGATGTCCAATGTTAATGTTAAAAGCAGTAGTCATAACAGCGACGGATGATAACTGTTGGCATGGTAACGAGGATGCTAGCCATGTTACACGCAAGGAAATCCATGGCCGCCCTAAGGCGGAGTTGCGTAGCATTGTGTTCGTACTGGAGTGGCCACGCCAGGGCATTTTCGAGGTGTTTTTTGTTTCCTGCACATTTCCCTACGAGGGTTTGCATCCCAAAAATTCCTCGTTCGCACGAGTCTCCTCCAGCGGTAGCGTTTCGTACTATTCCCCACCCGAAAAGACTAAAACCAACTCGGAAGGCATGCCATCCGAGGGAGCCTCAACCCTAAAATTTTAGGGTTGAGGCTCCCGAATGGCATGCCGTAAGCCATGGGGTATATTTTTTCACCTTAGGGTAATGCGCCGGGAAAACAAAGTCAGCGGGAATCCCCTGCCGTGGCCACTCGAGTAATTAGGGGGTGTCCAGCGCGTACATTTACAGTTCATAAACCCTGTCAGTTATCACATTTATGGTTGTAGCACTGCATTTTACAGAAAGGCTGGACAGGATCAGCATTCGTTCATGAGACGGCACGTCCCCTACACGTAAGTCGAGTCGTCTGACTCACGTCACCTGAAACAGCATGCGCGCGAAAAAGGGTACAGCATTGTGTCCTGCGCACTACAGTAATTTTCGCTCAAACGAGAAATTTTCGCTTGCGCAAGGACCACGCGAGGATTGACGAGAAGGCTAGTTACCTTGGTTTCCATACATTCGGAACACTGTAAAAATTACGTGGCGGGGGTTATGTCCGCGCGCTGGAAGGCACAAGCGTTTTGGACTAAGCTCGCCCTGGGTTCGTTTCTAGGTACAATGAGTTTTTCTCATCTGAGAGATGCGTGAGGGCTCTAAATTTCCAAAAACGTACGCGCTGGACACGCCCTTATCACCAAATTTGGTGGCCACTGAGTAAGAATGAATCACCGAACAGGGCTCTATAGTAATTCTCTCCCGAGAATCACCTGGGCTGCGTTCTGCGGGCGCATCAGCTCTGATGCGCCCTAGGCTCGGCCTGATCCGCACATTGACAAATTGAGGTTCGGGGATGAGGAATTTGAAATTGAAAAATAGAGGTTCGGGAAATGGAGATTGAGGTTCGGGAAATCGGAAAATGGAGATTTCGAATTTCGGGCATGTCAATTTTCGATATCAAATTTCCGAGGAATTCCAGGGTGCTGAAGGTTCTTTGAAGCAGGGAAGCACGCACCTGACGCCTTCCCCACACCCCTAATTTCGAATTTCAATTGCCCAATTCGATTTGATGCGCGCATCATGCGCGCATCAAAGATGCGTCAGCTTGCTAGGACGATAATTTTCTCGGAAAGCGGAGACATGAAAATTTGTGGTTGCCAAAAAGACCGTTCTGCAGGCATTCGGGCTTGGTTTGCCTCGGCAGCCAAGCGCTTATCGCGAGCCTTGATAACCTTTCAGCTGGTTATCAAGGAAGGCTCCTGGAACATCGGAAATAATGGATTTTGGGGTGAGTTTCTTATGTGGTGGAAAACGGTTTTGAACGATATTTGTCACTTCAAAAACCGTCAGCTCTGCCGGCCGTTTTTGTCAGCGATTATTTATTTTTAAAGCCCGAGTCTAGAATGGCAAGGGTTCAAGTTCAAGATTCTTGAACTAGAATTCGCCAAGGAACAAGGTAACCCGGTTTGGGTCTGCATCCACCTCGCGACCCACCGAGAGGGAATTGAAGCGCGAGACAGTGATTGGCCAGATACAGCACAGGCAATCCCACAACCACCCTCGCCATAAAATACAAATGCACACGGTACTGTTCAGACTTCTCAAAACTTGAAAGTTTCGGCTGCGTTCGGCGGCCGCATTAGCCCGCACCAATGTACATTGCACATTTTTTTCGATGTTCCAGGAGCCTTCCGTGATAACCAGCCGAAAGGCTATCAAGGTTCGTGATAAGCGCTTGGCTGCCGAGGCAGACCAAGCCCGAATGCCTGCAGAACGGTCTTTTTGGCAACCACAAATTTGCATGTCGCCGCTTTCCAGGAAATACAGCGTACTAGCAATCTGACGCATCCTTGATGCGCGCATGATGCAACGCCCTAAACACGCATGATGCGCGCATCAGCTCGAATTGGGGCAAATTGAACAGCGCATCATGCATGTGGGGAAGGCGCCAGGTGCGTTCTTCCCCACTTCGATGAAAGCTCAACACCCTGGAATTCGTCGGAATTTTGGGGTCGAAATTTGACATGCCCGAAATTCGACATCCCCAATTTCCGATTTCCCGAACCTGCGTGTCCATTTTCCGAACCTCCATTTCCTAATTTCAATTTGGACATTACCGAGCCTCAATTTTTCAATTTGTCAATTTGCCGAGCCTAGGGCGCATCAGGCTCTGATGCGGCCGCCGAACGCGGCCTTTCTTTTCCACTCTAGACTCTAGGCGTAGTAGGCTCCTTAGCCCGTCATTCCATGAACCGTACACCGCGCTGATGCTTTTGTTTTTTTTTTTTCCTTGGTCAATCATTCAGCCTGAATCCTTCGATCAGGTTAGGACCCTCGCAATCGTCGTTCACGACTGTCATGACTTGCCTCCCAGCCCTTCCGTCGCTCTCGTCGCTCCCATAGCTCTCTTCGCTCCCATGCAGGATGCGCAGAAAGATAGCGAGAACCGTCGCCCCTGTCCCTCGTTGCTCATGTCCCTCCCGTCGCTCCGATCCCTCCCGTCGCTCCGATCCCTTTCCCATCCCGTCGCTCACCGCTTCCCCTTTCCGTCGCCCACGCTTTTCCATCCCGTCGCTCACCGCCTTCTCTTTCCGTCGTTCACGCTTTTCCTACTGTTCCCCCTCGCTTTCCATTCCCGTCGTTCCCGCTCCTCCCGTCGCTCCCGCTCCCGCTCCTCCCGTCGCTCCCGCTCCCTCTCCTCCCTTCGCTCCCGCTCCCTCGCCTCCCTTCGCTCCCGCTCCCTCTCCTCCCTTCGCTCCCGCTCCCCCTCCTCCCTTCGCTCCCTCTCCTCCCTTCGCTCCCGCTCCCTCTCCTCCCTTCGCTCCCGCTCCTCCCGTCGATCCCGTCGCTTTCGTCCCTCACGTCGTTCACGTTGCTCCCGTCGCCCTTCCCTACGTGCAGCGTCCCTGCTTCCCTACGCCATTTCCCGCCCCCTTACCCTACGTGTAGTTTCCTCCTTTCCCTGTGTTTGCCCTGCCCGCCTCCCTCACCCTCCGTGCGCGCCGCCCTTGTTCTCCCTGGCCGTTCGGAGCACTAGTGTTCCCCCTTTCTGAACCCATCCGCTTCCCCCCGCCCTTCCCTCCATTTTCCCTTGCCTCTCCCTCTCCCCCTTCCATATCCCATCTGCCCTTCCATTCCCATCGCTCTCGTCGACTCCGTTTCCCCTGCCCATCACTACTCTCCGTCTAGTAGTTCGCTCGCGTCGTTTTCTCATTTCGTCAAATATTCGTTTCCTTACTCCCGACGCTCTCTCACTCCCGACGCCCTCTCACTCCCGACGCTCTCTCACTCCCTACATCCTCCTGGTGTCCTACCTACATCCTCCTGGGTTCCTACCTACATCCTCATTCTTTCCCCCTCTCCCCCACTATTCCCCCTCACCCTCACCTCAGCTTTTTCCCAACTCCACTCGCCCCTGCTGCCCCAAGCTGCCACGTGGCAGCTGGGGTGGTCATCTCTCCATACGTCACTCGCTGCTTCCATCGTCGTCACTCCCCTGTCTGCCTCTCTCGTCCAATCCCTCTAGGCACATCCCCATATCCTTGTTCCTCCCTAACTTTCCCCATGTCCTTCCCTCCGTGTCCCCCCTTGTCCTCCCTTTTCAGTCCAGGGACTTCTCAAATCGCGCCCCCGACTTGCGACTCACAAAATGCATGTGCAGCTCCACCAGGCACCTTTCGCGGTTATAAACCGGGAGCGAGAATGGGCACGAGATGGATGTGCATTGTGCAGCCATTTTCATGAATAAATGAGTTGACAAACTATCTCATCTATTTTTTTTCCCCTGGTTTCAACTTTTATTGAAATGTGGATATTCTCACTAAGTCATTACTGTTGCTCTTTCAAATACACAGAACCAGTGGAGAAAAACTAATTTCCACGTCAGAATTGCTATCACATCAGTCTTATACGCTTTTCATAGCAGTTTGTAAAACGGTACCCTACCATTGTCAACTACACATTTGACTTTCAGGTGTGATCCCTCGGACCCTCCGTGTTTCGCCTTCTGCCACTTTTGTCCTTTGTGCACCCTTCAGGTTTCTTGATCTTGAAAGTGGCCAACAGTACGCAGGGTCTCATTCCGCGCTCGTCAACCTTCGCCTCCCAGGTTCTGCGAATTGAACTCTCGCAACCCTTCGCAAACATAATTTCAAGTTCAGTATTTATGAAACATTGCCATTCTAGACTCGGGCTTTAATCCGTTTCCGAACAGAATGATCACGTGCGAAACCGCAATCCTGCGTTACCACTCTCTGGGCGCGTTATCTGCGAGGGCGATCGTCAGAATTCGGAGAGCCGTTCAGAGGAGGGTGCGGCGGGTGGGTAAATCAACGAAACGAATGAACAGTTTGATGGCAACCATTTCATTCGCGGTGAGCCAGAAAAAAATCCGAGTCAAACTGACTGTCAGCTGTTGACGGAGCCTGACGTCCCCGTCAGATAAGGAACGGAATTATTGGTGCCTTGATTGGCTTACTGTCAGCTTTATTGTTGAGTACTCCCCTCCTCACAACCACCCAGTCGAACAGCTCCTAGCTTTCACCATTCTGGAACGCGTACACAGACTAGCCGATCTCCTACCGACCATTAGGTTTCATTGGCGCAGCTGAGACGAGAACGTCTCTTATCGATTGGGATAGAAACGAGCTGCTTCGTTTCTTGAATAACTGAACGCACGATGCCTCTATTGTTTCTCACTTAATATTGGCCTTGGCCGATGGTCGACGAGACGAGTATGATGCCGAACATTTGCATTATTAACCCAACATTGCCCGGGTTCCGCGCTCATCACAAACAAAGCGGCCGAGCGCTGATAGTTCACTTCCACCGTTCGACGCAAGCCTTCTCATCCTCGAATCGTTCATTACCACCAGCGCCGCATCCTTTCTCATCATCTGCACTTCCCTTCCCTGATTCTCCCATGACCAAGACCTACTTTCGTTGGAACCGCAAACTCTTTTAGAGCGGCGGGTGTCCTTCACATCAGTGGTATCGCTGTCTAGTAGGGTTTCTCAGCAACAACAACTTGAGAAACTCTCGCAATGGCTCTCCCCCGTGTTCTCACGTGCCTCGTCATCATCGCCGGTACGCCTTCATCAACCCATGCCTCCTTCCTCAATCGCTGGACTGTCATACCCGCTCATATCCATTCCATTCGTAATGGCCTCTCTTTGCTCCTGTGCTCGGCTGCAGGCGTGCTCGTGTCCTCCGCGGTTCCCGGAGCCGAGGCGTTAAGCGTCAACGGGGCCAGGCAGCGCGCCGCCGCGACAGCGCTGAAGGTGGAGACGGCCATGCAGCGCGCGGTGAGCGCGCTAAGCGCGGAGGTGGCGCAGCAGCGCGCCGTGAAAGCGGGTCTCAAGTTCGTCAAGTCCCTCCTCCCCAACCTCTTTCCGCCGCCCCCGCCTGCCCCCAGTCAGTGCCTCCATCCCTTCCCTCTCGCTCTCCTCGCTCCTTCGCTGCGTTCTTCTCGCCCTGCTTGTTTAACCTGAATTTCCGGCCCGAGTCTGAGTGTGTGGTAATTTCTCGTGATAATTCCTGAAACGTGATATGATGTTACCTTTCGCGTTTTGTGAGAGTTATCGTAACCCATGAGGCGAGATGGCTCATCTTCTCTCCATCATTCGTTCCACCCAGCGCTCATCTTCTCGCCTCCTCCCTCTCTCCTTGCCGTCGCGTCGCGGCGGGTGATGGTCCGCCAATGCAGGACTGTACAGTGCCGACTTTGCAGATGAACGCGTGAGAGCAAGGTTCAGCCTCGCCGTCCCCCTCCTGTAAGACTCTCTCTACTTGAGTTGAATCCTCACAGTCAGTGAAGATTCAGATTTGGTTTTGTGGTCTGTTTGGGAGTTGCCGTTTTCGTGCTGGCGTGTCGCAAGCAGTGTGTGGGTGTGGGAGGACTGAGTCACGTGGGCGACCAGGCGAAGCGCAACTGGCTTCCCTGCCTTCCGTGCCCCTCCCGCTCCCGTCCTCATTGCTCCTGCCTGTTTCCCTTCATCCGCCATTGCCTCAACCTGCTGTTGGCCTTCCTCCTCCCTCATTCACCCACCACCAATTCTGTCTCTCACTCCCACCGTGCCACTGTCCGCTCAGAAAACAAATCCACCTGCTTCGTCCCCCCATCTCCCTCCCAACCTTGCCAGTGCCGCTACCAAGCCCACGCAGTTCCGCCTGACCATCGCAGGATCGATGAAGCCGCCGATGCAAGTGAACGTCAGCACGCAGTCGTCAATCCCGCTGGCCGTGCTCGGGAAGAACATGCAGTGCTCAAAACTTGCGCCGAGCGTGTGGGACTGCTTCGGCCAGACCCAATTCACCCAGGCCGACATCGGCGCTATTGGTTACACGGCTGGCGTGGGGGCTCACGTCGATTCGCACTCTCTCTTTCTCGTGTACCCGGATGCGCTCAACCCTTCGGGAGAGGAACAGACCACTGCGAAGCTCACCAAGGCGCCGCCGCGTTGGACAATGGAGCAAGTGTTCGGTACGTTGATTCGCCCCACCGTGGTAACCAGGTTCTTGGGTTTTTGTTTCCCACGTCTCGACTGAGAAAGTCCCCATCTTTCCAGCTCACCTCTTTCGCTCGCATGAACGGCTAAATAGCCTTTGTGAGCTTCGTTTTGCTTCGTTTCGCTGCAGGTTACAACGATCTGCTGAGAGGAGTTCCTGTTGCAGGAAGGTTCCAGTCTGTGATCAGCGGGGAGCAGCTCAAGGGAGGAGCAACGGTTGCCTTCTTCAAAAAGTAAGTCCCTGCTATACCTGCTTTTTGTTGCAAATCTATCTATACTTGCGATGCCCGACCTTCAGTGAAAGGCCTCGTTACCCATTTACCTAGGGTTTCTCCATCCGCCCCTCACATGGATCTCAACCCCACTGCCCTCCTTGACCCGGCTCCTCCCCACTTATCCCCCTTTCCCACCCACCTGCCTGCCACCTGCCTGCCACCTGCCTCCCACCTGCCTGCCACGTTCGTGGCGTGCAGGAAGTGCAAGAGCATGATGCATGTGAGCATCGTCCTCATCCATGCCAATGACTTGAAGCCAGCAGCAAAGCTCTCCGTCGTTTACCTCCGTTACCAAAGTGCCGTCCACGTTCCTATCAAGTGCACGTGGGCACGGCCCAGGCCTAGTGTGCACGTGTGCGATGTCAAGAGGGAATTCCCCAGCAAAATCGACATCTCCTCCTTAACCACTCTAAAGCCTGCACATGCAGAGGACCTGGAGTTGAAGTTGGTTGTGGTGTCACAGGCGCTGGCAGAAGCCTCTCAAGACACGCTGCTCTACACGCTCTGATTTACTCGCCGTTCAAATTCTGCCTTGTTGGCAGTGAATAACTGGAGACTTGGCTTACTCATGTCTCAACATGCCTTTGTTATCCCGCTTCCCTGATGCTTTCCCGAATCCCCCTCTCCCTCCTCCATCTCCCATCTTCCTCCCCACTTCTAGCCTCCTTAACCTCATCCTCCATCTTCAGCTTGCTGCTTAAATGTTCCTGTCATGGTGATAAGGGATTGTGTACTGGTGTGGTGTAGACAACAGTTATTGTTTTTGCACCCTGATTGTTGTAATTGTCAAACTATTTATGTTTGTTGTCTAGGATGTAGTGCGGTAGCTCATAAAAGGGTGCACCCATTAGGGTCAGACTTGGTACTCACTCATTCCCATCAGTGTTAGAATCTTAAAGCCCGAGTACAGTACGGTAATGTTCAAGTTCAAGATTCTTGAACTTGAAATTGTCAAAAACAGGGTTGCCTGTTAAAGCCAGGATCTCAAGTAAGAGAATTGACCTTCATTTGCAAAACACTTGCAGCTCTCATTATGTTACGGGGTACTGTCAAATATTATAGCCTCCAGTGGGTTGTCAATTCATATGCATGTTTAGTTAGATTATGCTATATGGGGGTTAGTACTAGGGGGTACACAATTTCTCTCGACATTCTTGTACTCCCCCCTTGACCTAATCAAACTGTCCTAGCCCAAGCCTTGTGACATGGTATCAGAGCAGGAGGTCCCTAGGACCTTAGAACCATTTCCCTTACGGCCCACCTTAAAATCGCCTGCGGTTACAGCGTTACCCCGCGCCGGCCCTGCCCTACTACGAGTCGCGCTGCCCCTGCTGGCCGCGCGCCACAGCTGCAGCGCGCATTTTCCCCTTTTTTTTCTGGCTCGCTGCCCTGCCCGCTCTGCCCCGCGCGCGCTGCTTGTCGCGTCGCCCCGCAGCCCCGCAACCTCGCAGCCCCCCCGCGCTGCTCGTTGCGTCGCCCCGCAGCCCCGCTGCGCCCGCGCGCCGCACGCTGAGCCGCCCCGCAGCCCCGCGCGTTGCCCTCCCCTCCCAATCCCGTCGCCCTCCCCCCTTCCCACCGTCGCCCACCTCCTCCCCGCCCCTTTCCTACCGTCGCGCCCTCCTCCCCGCCCTTTCCTACCGTCGCGCCCTCCTCCCCGCCCCTTCCTACCGTCGCGCACCCTCCTCCCCGCCATTTCCTACCGTCGCGCCCTCCTCCCCGCCCCTTTCCTACCGTCGCGCCCTCCTCCCCGACCCTTCTCACCGCGCCGCCCGCCAACCAGCGCGCTGTGCCGCCCGCCTGTCCACATGCCCTGCCGCCTACCCGCCTGCACGCCTGCGCGCCTACCTACACGCTACTGACAGTCTCCCCCTCCCGCGGCTGGCAGCCGCGCTCTCTCAGTTTCGCCCCCTATGGCGACCTCCCGAGTACTTCGCTTTGACCCCGAGGGAAGACCGATTGACTTTAGTACGTGTCTTACGCAGGTGTAGCGCTACCTTAAGAGCCAGCGGCAGGATGGCGTGCACCTGTTCGCACACGCGTCCGGCACTCAGACCGCCCCTCCGCAGCCTCGGCCGCTGCCCACTACCCCACCGCCTACTTCTGAGCAGGAGGCCGACTATTAGTGCCAGCTCCTCGCTCGTGACGTGTGGGAGTCTCGTGACGCCGCTGCCTGCCTCGCCATAACCGACATTCTCCCGCCGACAGAGGCAGTTCATTTCGCTCAGGTCGAGTCTGCTGCAGATCTGTATAAGGCTATTGTTGCTCGCTACTCCACTCCCTCCTCTGCTTCGCTCAGTCGCCTCCTCGTACCCTTTATCTACCCTGACCTCGCCTCCTTTGAGACTGTCTCTGACCTCGCTACCCACCTGCGCTCCCTTGACGCTCGCTTTCGCGCTGCTTGCACTGAGGACCAGCTTGCCCTTGCCCCGCCCCCTATGTGGCTCACTATTCACTGGCTAGTCACTCGCCTCCCTGACCGCCTAGCCACAGCCCGCGACGCGCTTCTTCTGAAGCACCCCACTGAGCTTACCATCGATCTTCTTGAGACCACTCTCTTGAAGATCGAGAGTAACCTCCTCACTGTTGCCTCTGCCTCCTCCGCACCCCCTCCTCGTCTTTTTGAGGGGTGTGCGGTACCACAGCTTCCCACCTTCACTTCCTCACTTGCCACCCCCACATCTTCTACCTCTGAGGAGACGGCGGCTGTTTCTGTCTCTGGCGGACAGAAACGTGGCAAGGCCGGCAAGAAGGGCGGGAAGGGCGGCGGGGGTACTGGGGGTGGTGCGGGTAGTGGCAGCGGCGGTGGAGCAGGTGGTGGGAGTGGTGGTGGGGGTGGCTCGGGCCCTGACGGCCCTCCTCTCGACGGTGGAGTTTTCACTGGTGGTGAGGGGTTCCAGCAGCAGCAGCAGCAGCCGACTTCTCAGCAGCTGCCACCGTCTGGACAGCAGTAGTGGCAGGGACAGCAGCAGCAGCGACAGGGCCAGCAGCAGCGCCCGCCACAGCAGCAGCCTCAGCAGTGGGGCCCTCTGTAGTAGTGGGGCCCTCAGCAGCAGTGGAGGTCTGCGGGTCTTCCGAGCACTGGGCGCAGTGGCGCCCCCTCCAGTCGGGGACCTCGCTCGGCCGGCCGCGACGTTGGTCCCTGTGAGTACTGGATCCTTACGGGTCCTCGTAGGGACTCGTACTGTGGCCGCCCCGACCACTCTGCTGCACGCTGCTTCAGTCGTCTCGACGACCTCTACCGCTTGCACCACGGCCCCTCCGCTCCCCCGCCGCCACGCTGGGGGACGCTTCTTGCTCGTAGTATTACTGTTTTTGATATGACTATGGATGATGCTAGGTCATATGCCATGTATGCTGATGTTGACTATAGTGCTCCTGGATCTGTGTACTTGCCTGTACCTAGCTTAGGATCTTTGCCTGTTGCTAGAGTAGGTGCTAGTGTTGCATCTTGTTTAGCTACTAGTACAGGTACTCCCTCGGCGGACACGTCTCTCTCCTTCACACTGGACTCAGGAGCGTCGCACTGCTTCTTCCGCGACTGCACGACTCTCTCTCCGCTACCGGCGCCTGTCCCTGTAGCACTGGCCGATCCCTCTTCGGGACCGGTCATTGCGACTCACGCCACTACACTCCCGTGCCTAGCTGCTCCTTCCAGTTCCCTGACCGGCCTCCACGTTCCTACGTTCTCTAGGAACCTGGTTGGTGTGGGCACCCTGGCGAGACAGCACGTCGGGGTCTGGGTTGAGCCTTCTGGTGACACCGCGGTCTGTGTGGACGGTGACACGTACGCCCCCTTGGCCACTTTTCGCCAGGAGCCGGGCTCCGGTCTGTACACCCTCCGCACCGGCCCCTGTCAGGTTCCCCCGTCCCACCAGGTAGCCGGGTCCAGTCAGGTTGCTGTGTCAAATGTAGTTGCTGCGTCGTGCTCGTGTCGGTCGCTTGCCCACCCCTCCCTCCTCTGGCACCACCGCCTTGGTCACCCGTCCCTCCCTCGTCTCCGCGCTATGTCCAGTCAGCGTCTTGTCTTAGGCCTCCCCCGAGTCCTCCCGCCACTCCCGCCGTCCCCAGCTCCTCCGTGCGGTCCTTGTGTCCAGGGTCGGTTGTGCACCACCCCTCACTCCTCCTCCCTTCGTCCGGCCACCGAGCCCTTCCAGACACTCCACTTAGACGTCTGGGGCCCCGCTTCCCGCCTTGGCCCTGAGCGGGAGAGTTTCTTTCTGGTGGTCGTTGACGATTACTCTCGGTACACCACCGTGTTCCCTTTGGCGAAGAAGTCCGACGTGACTTCTACGCTGATCCGGTGGCTCCTCGCCACCGAGGGCACTCGTGGTCGTCGTGTCAGTTGTCTTCACTCCGACCGTGGGGGTGAGTTTCGCTCCGGCATTCTCGCCAGATTCTGTGCTGAGCAGGGCATCACCCAGTCCTGGACTCTTCCAGACTCTCCACAGCAGAATGGGGTTGCTGAGCGCCGGTTAGGCTTGGTCATGGAGATCGCCTGCACCTCCATGATCCACGCCCGCGCGCCCCATTTTCTGTGGCCCTACGCGGCTCGGTACGCCGCTCACCAGCTGAACCTCTGGCCTCGCGTCTCTCGGCCAGGGGCTTCACCGACCAGTCTTTGGACAGGGTCCCCTTGTGTCGCGTCGAGGTTTAGTGTCTGGGGCTGCTTGGCTCTTGTCCGCGACACCTCTGCGGACAAGATCTCACCTCGCGCCGTCCCCTGTGTCTTCCTTGGTTTCCCAGAGGACTCCTCTGACTTCACCTTTTACCACCCTCCCTCCCACCGGTTCTTTGACTCTCGTGACGTCCGTTTCGACGAGTCCGTCCCCTACTACGTCCGGTACCCCTGTCGAGGTCTCCCGGTTCCCCCCCCTCCCCTCTTCCTGGCTCCAGCTCCTCCTCCTCCCGCCCCTGCTCCTCCGGTTACCCCCCCTGTTCCCGCTCCGTCTGGTGTGTCCCACGCTACTCCCCCCCCCTCGGTACCCCCCCAGGTCTCTCCTCCTTCCCCACAGTCGTCCTCACAGCCTCCGCAGCAGCCGTCAGCGCTTCCTTTACCGGCCACTGCGGACTCTGAGGGTGTTGGTGCTCGAGGTGAGGGCTCTGGCGGTGCTCGTTCTGGGGGTGTTGGCGTTGGCGCTGAGCGTGCACCTGCCGCAGCTGCTCGCTCCGAGGGTGCTGGAGCTGGTGGTGGTGCTGGAGCTGGTGGTGTTTCTGGAGCTGGAGAGTCTGGGGCTGGTGCTGGTGCCACTGGAGGCACCACGACTGGGGGTGCGGGTACACCTCCTACAGGTGCTGGTCGTGCTGCCGCGGGAGGTACTCGCTCTGGGGGTGCTCAGCCGGGTACTGTCGAAGACGGAGCTGGTTCTGCTGCGTCTCCTGACACCACTCCTCCTCCTCACCCCTACCCGACTCGTTACCAGGCCCTTCTTCGTCTAGAGCGTGAGGAGCAGCAGCGTTTGGAGCGTGAGAGGTCGGAGGTCCAGCAGCGTTTGGAGCGTGAGAGGTTGGAGTAGCAGCGGGAGCAGCAGTAGCAGCAGCAGCAGCAGCAGCAGCAGCAGCAGCAGCAGCAGCAGCAGCAGCAGCAGCAGCAGCAGCAGCAGCAGCAGCAGCAGCAGCAGCAGCAGCAGCAGCAGCAGCAGCAGCAGCAGCAGCAGCAGCAGCAGCAGCAGCAGCAGCAGCAGCAGCAGCAGCAGCCTCAGCAGCAGCAGCAGCAGCAGCAGCAGCAGCAGCAGCAGCAGCAGCAGCAGCAGCAGCAGCAGCAGCAGCAGCAGCAGCAGCAGCAGCAGCAGCAGCAGCAGCAGCAGTAGCAGCAGCAGCAGCAGCAGCAGCAGCAGCAGCAGCAGCAGCCACAGCAGCCGGAGCAGCCTCCGGCCCCTGTTTCTGGCCTTCAAGCCCTTGGTCTCCCCTCCTCTCGTCCTGTGTTCGGTCCTACGTTTCCTCCTCCGGACTCAGCTCCGGCTGTGTTCCCTCGTTCTCAGTCTCCTCCGTCTCCCCCTCCTCTCACCCACACTTGGACCTCTCGTCCTCCTCATGCTCGTCCCTGATCACCTGTCACTGACCTCCGTACCGTGTTGTTTCGTTCTAGTCCTCCTCGTCCTCCTCCGTCTGTTCTTCCTCGTCCTCCTGAGTCGTCCCTCACTGCCTCCCTGTCCACTCCGGTCACTGACTACTACCGCACGTACCGCCCCACTCTCTCTCGTGTTCTCGCCTCTCTTGTTACAGACCCTCGTGCCTCTCCTTCCTCCGTCGCGGTCCTCACTGCCGCTGTCACTGACTTTACTGCTACGCGTCGCCTTGACTACGCCACTCGTGTTGTGGCCGCTCCTCCTGTCCGTCCTCTGTCCGCCGGGGGTGAGTCTGCCTTTGGCTGTGACGTCCTAGAGGACAGACAGTTTGAGCTAGAGTTCCTGGCAGCTGCTTCGCCTCATCTCTGTGCCATGCTCCTCGCTCCTGAGGGAGACCCCGACGCTCCTGACATACCTACTCCTCGCACTTACGCTGAGGCAGTGTCAGGGCCTTGGGCCTCTCAGTGGAGAGCTGCCATGGACGCAGAGATGGCCTCCTACAGGTCCACAGGCACTTACGTTGACGAGGTTCCCCCCCCAGGGGCGAACATAGTTGACGGCATGTGGATCTTCAAGGTGAAGCGACTGCGGGATCTCCCCCAGTCTTCAAGGCACGCTACGTGGCTAGAGGGTTCAGTCAGCGTGAGGGAGTTGACTTCTTTCAGACCTTCGTGCCCACCCCGAAGATGACCACTCTTCGGGTGTTACTTCACGTAGCGGCACAGAGGGACTACGAGCTACACTCCCTCGACTTCTCCACCGCCTTCCTGCAGGGCAGCCTACACGAGGAGATCTGGCTGCGTCGTCCTCCGGGCTTCACTGGCACCTTCCCGCCTGGGACCCAGTGGAGCCTCAGACGACCGGTCTACGGTCTCCGCCAGGCACCCCGTGAGTGGCACGACACTCTCCGCTCTACTCTCTCCGACCTCGGGTTTGAGCCGTCTTCCGCCGACCCGTCGCTGTTTGTTCGTCGTGGGCGCACACCTTTCTTTGTTCTGGTCTACGTTGACGACTTGGTTTTTGCAACAGCCGACACAGTTGCATTGGTGGAGGTGAAGTCCGAACTGCAGAAGAGACACACCTGCACTGACCTTGGGGAACTGCGCCGCTACCTTGGCCTGCAGATCTCCAGGGACAGAGCCGCTCGCACCATCACTCTGACTCAGTCACACATGGTGTAGCAGGTCCTTCAGCGGTTCGGGCTTCAGCACTCTTCTCCTACACCCACCCCTCTTGCTGTAGACCACAGACTCACTGGGCCTTTTCCTGACGAGCCGTTCGAGCCCAGTGGTCCCTACGCAGAGCTGGTGGGCTGCCTCATGTACCTGATGACGTGCACTCGCCCGGACCTCGCCTTCCCTCTTAGCATCCTTTCTCGCTTTGTTGCGACTGGGAGACACCGTCCTGTTCACTGGGCGGCGGCTAAGAGGGTGGCGAAGTACCTCGGCGCGACATCAGACATGGGGCTTGTACTTGGAGGGACACAGCCAGTTGTACTCACCGGTCACTGCGACTCCTCGTACGCCGACGACGTTGAGACTCAGAGGTCTACGCAGGGTTATTGTTTCAGCCCATGCTCTGGAGCTGTTTCGTGGAGGTCTACTCGGTCCTCCTCTGTTGCGACTTCTACCGCAGAGGCCGAGATCTACGCTGGAGCCCTCGCTGCACAGGAGCTACGCTGGTTGACCTTCTTGCTCACTGACCTTGGTTAGAGAGTTGCAGAGACGCGGTCAGGCACGTCTGGACTTCGTGGCCTCCGAGGCCAACACTGCAGACATCTTCACCAAGGCTCTTCAGCCTTGTGACCACCGTCGGTTTTGTCTGCAGTTAGGTCTCGTTGAGACTGGGTCTAGTAGACTGCAGTAGTGATTTCTTGCCTCTTGTTTGCTTGTATCATATATATTAGCTTGTACACTATTGAACTAGCCTTGTGGCCCGTTGTTTGTGCTCAGACTGTGTGGTGACGTTGTGATCCACCCTGAGCTGTGTTTTCTCTCTTGCTTGTGACTGGTCTTGGGACCTTAGGTTGTTCTTTTTTTGTTGCTTGTCATTCCCCACTTAGGCTATGGGGATGTGTCAAATATTATAGCCTCCAGTGGGTTGTCAATTCATATGCATGTTTAGTTATGTTATGCTATATGGGGGTTAGTACTAGGGGGTACACAATTTCTCTCGACATTCTTGTACTCCCCCCTTGACCTAATCAAACTATCCTAGCCCAAGCCTTGTGACAGGTACTTCACTATTTAGGGTAAACCATCCTTGAACAGTAAAGTACCCCGTAGGTTCCATTTGGTGAACTAGGGCCTCAGATTGGTTTTGGGCTAGGCTGAAAAAATCGAGTTGGTACCGTAAAATATTTTATGCTAAAATTCAGACATATTAGCCATTTTACGCCATTTTACAGTACAAAATTTACAGGTTTTCATGTTCTTTTACAAAAAATGGCTGGAAAATTAGCCCTGGTTCTTGCAATCAGTCTGAAATCTCAGCCTTATTTACCTAGATCAGCATTTTTTCGCTGAAATCCGAGGCCCCGTGTGTCAAACTATATGTATATATGCTAAAGTATAATCTGTAGGCTGTAGTGGGGTAGCCCATATAGGGTACAATGTCAAACTGTATGTGCTGCATATTGTCTAGGCTGTAGTGGGGTAGCCCATATGGGGTACAACCAAATTAGGGTTTACTACTTGTACTCCTGCATCCTGCTAGTTCACACCATTCCTGCTGCTAGATTCTAACATGGTTTCAGAGCACTAAGGTCCGTAGGACCGTTTTTTTTTTTTTTTCGGGCCCACCTACCGCTGCAGTTACCGCGCTACCCCACGTACCTGCCTGCCTTGCCTTGCCTTGTGACGTGCTGCACATGCGCTGCCTCCTGCTGCCCTAGGCCAGCGCGCTGCCCCTAGAGGCCCGTAAGGCCCGCGCGCCGCCTCTACACGCCCGTCAGGCCCGCACACAGCCCCTGCAGACCGTTAAGCACGCTGCTGCCGCGCGCTGCCCGCACCGAGACCGCGCAGCCCGCACCGAGTCGCGCGCAGCCCGCTGCAGCCGCGCGCAGCCCGCACCGAGTCGCGCGCAGCCCGCTGCAGCCGCGCGCAGCCCGCACCGACCCGCGCGCAGCCCGCAGCCGCGCGCAGCCCGCTGCAGCCGCGCGCAGCCCGCACCGAGCCGCGCGCAGCTCGCAGCTGCCGCGCGCAGCCCGCGCCGAGCCCACGCAGCCCGCGTCGAGCCGCGCGCGGCCTGCTACGGCCTCGCGAGGCCCGCGCGCGGCCCGCAGCAGCCCGCGCCGAGCCGCGCGCGGCCTGCTACTGCCTCGCACGGCCCGCGCGCGGCCCGCAACAGCCCGCGCCGAGCCGCGCGCGGCCCGCTACTGCCTAGCGCGGCCGCGCGCGGCCTGCAGCAGCTCAGCGCGCTGTCAGCGCAGCCCGCGCCGAGCCGCGCGCGGCCCTCTGCCTCGGCCCCGACCTGCCGCTGATGCGGCCCCGCCCTGCAGCTGCCACGGCCCCGACCTGCCGCTGATGCGGCCCCGCCCTGCAGCTGCCACGGCCCCGACCTGCCGCTGATGCGGCCCCGCCCTGCAGCTGCCACGGCCCCGACCTACCGCTGACGCGGCCCCACCCTGCTACTGCCGCTGAAGCGGCCCCGCCCTGCAGCTGCTTCGGCCCTGCTCTGCAGCCGGTGTTGCGGCCCCGACGTCGCCGCTGTCGAGCGCCGGCCCTGCTCGCCCGGTGAGCGCCTGCTCTCCCAGCCTTTGGTGAGCGACTGCCTGCCTGCCTGACGGCCTGCCTGTCTACCTGCCTGCCTGCCAGCCTAGCTGCCTGCCTGCCTGCCGGCCTGCCTGCCTGCCTGCGCGCCTGCCTGCCTGCCTGCCGGCCTGCCTGCCTGCCTGCCGGCCTGCCTGTCTGTCTGCCTGCCTGCCTGCCTGCCTGCCTGTCTGCCTGCCTGCCTTCCTGCCTGCCTGCCTGCCTGCCTGCTTGCCTGCCTGCCTGCCACGCCTGCCCTGCCGGCGCTGCTACTGCTGCTACTGCTACTGGCAGGTGGCCAGATGCAGCTCCAGCGACGTTCACGCGAGCCTCTCACGCCCCAGCAGCTTAGTGAGTGGTATACTAGCTGGGGTTGTCGCGGTAGCCGTCGTAGCTGTCGCCCTGGGGCTGGTCAGTTGGGAGCGTCTAGCAGTGGCCAGCTGCAGCTGCAGGGGCGTCCACGCGAGCCACTTATGCCTCGGCAGCTCCAGGAGCTCAGTGTAGCAGGTCTACACGTACAGTTCGCTGCCCGTACGTCATTCGCACAGGTGCTAGGACTGGTCAGCCTTGTGGGACGCTTGGTCACACACAGTCCCGCTGCTTCGCCCGTCTGAGCGACGACTGGCGCACAGTGTTTGGCGACGAGGCTGAGCTCCCCACCTGGCTGGAGCTGCATGGACAGAGGGTAGATATCTTTGCGCTTGACTATGATGCTATTCTCACTGCCATGTATGCCTTGTCTACTAGTGCTGACCGTGCCTGTTACCTGTGCGTACCGCCTGATCCTGGTGAGGCTGCTGCCCTAGGTGCTAGTGCGTCTCCTGCTCTAGGTGCTGGTGAGGCTGCTGCTCTCGGTGCTAGTACGTCTACTGCTCTAGGTACTGGTGAGGCCGTGGCTTCAGGTGCTGGTGAGTCTGCTCTCTCTGGTACTGCGCCCACTGCGGTCTCGCACACCTTCACCCTTGACTCAGGAGCTTCCCGCTCCTTCTTTCGCGACTGCACCGCACTCACGCCGCTCAGTCGGCCAGTCCCGGTCTCCCTGGCGGACCCCTCTTGGGGTCCAGTCCTTGCCCACCCCTCTGGGGGGGTTCACCAGTTCACTCCTGCGAGTCAGCGAGTGACTCACTGTACGTGTGCTAGGACGGGCCGGCACTTGGCCACGTTCACCCGTGCACCTGGCTCGAGTCTGTACACACTGACCACTGCGTCCCCTCAGGTAGCTGCGTCTGCGTCTACGTCTGGTC